ATTAACCCAGTTGATGATTGATGAGTTTTGTGGTTTCGATCTCTTTTACCGAGACTCCAGTTGAATTCTGAAGTGGGGTGGCAAGATGAAGTTTTTTCCAATGGGGGCAAGCACGTCTTAGTTCAAAGTGAAGAGATCTCTTAGGACCCTTATTCTCAAGAGTTTCCTAAGAACATGAATTATAGAAGAATTAGAGAAAAGGAGAGTGAAAGGCACTACGTGATTGTACCTAATTAAAATTGAGATGGAGATACCCTGTGATATAGTTTGTGATATTTACACATTCTCTAAATGTTGTATTGTGCCGAGGAAGAGTACCCCACGCATCGACGGACTGAGGAGGCTAGTAGGAGCCCCCGCCCAATGGTGGCTTCGTGCTTTATGTAATTTCTTTTTTATGGAAAATGTATAGTAGTCCATGAAATTTCACGTAACATTTCTATATCTCACCTCTTGAGCTAGGTATAAATTTTTTTTATTAATCTCGCCTCCTGAGCTAGGTTTCCACGTCAGCCGCTCCCCCCACAATTATTGTTGAGTATGTCTTTAATTATGTCTCGGGTATTCGATCCAAATTGAATTTTGATACCCATATTGAAATTTGTGGTGATCTGACTTGAGATGGTGACCCGAGATCCTTAAATTTCTATAGTGGATTTTGTTTCTCCTCTTCGCGTGGTTTTTTCCGCAAGGGTTTTTCATGTAAATCCACGTGTTCTTTTATTCCTTTAAATTTAATTTCGTTGTAGTTTCCATATTGGACATAACAATCTAGTATCAGAGCCGATGATCGATTGGTGGAGGGTTCCAAATCTATTCCGGTGTTTGACGGATGAAGTTGAGCGTGATTTCAAGGCGGTGGGTGTTGAGGTGTAACAATGTAGGCCCGGTGGCAGACTTTTTATCTTGATGCAAAATGATACTTGAATTAAGGGAAAACAGACCTAACGCTGAGCTCATACGTGAGGAGAAGATTATTATGATGTATGTGTGAGTTGTGTTAGAAAAATTTCACATCAGAGAATCAGTGTGGTGTAAAGTAGTTAATATATCTTAGTTGGCCTATAACTCATTGGTTTAAGCTTTTGAGCGAATGTGTGTCCAATTGTATATGTTAATAGCCTCGAACTTTGGGTTCACTCTTGGTGATCTCCCCTGACGAAAGATATTATGCTTCTGCTGCGTGCTCCGAACAAATTTTGTTGACGAGCTCGGACTTGTTGATAATCTCCGATACTTTTCCCTTGAGGAGATCGCCAAGAGGGAGTCTAAGTCCGAATTTGTTAACGTATATAGGCATACATTGACAAATTGCAATATGTATCATGGTCACTTCAGCTCTCTCAGCCACACGCAGGCATTATTCTCTCCCATGTGCACGAAAGATTGTTGGTTATGTCCTTGAGAAAGATTCGAAATTGCATTAAGTTCAGGGCTCCAATGACTTAAGCAACTTGATAGGAAGAGACACACATCGAACTAGTTCACAGTCATCCAAACACTTCTCATAGCTGTCCGGACGGCAAAAGAGTTCTCACCAGCGGGGTGTTCAAGAACTTGAAGCACCAAACTCAAAACTCTCTCGCTCAATCCGGGTGATTTCAATATTTTTTGAGTGCGGGTTCGACTAGTCCTCCGAATCTCTGAGCTTTCTTTACTACCATGGACAACATGGAAACCATGACCGAAAAGAAGGAAATCGAGGGAGAGAACCTGGAGGAGGAGTTGCCGGAAGGGTCGGAGTCGAGTGGCTTGGGAAGGACCCCGCCATGGACGAGGCAGCTGACGCTGCGTGGGGTTGTGGTTAGCATCGTGATCGGGGCCATCTACAGCATCATAGCCATGAAGCTGAACCTCACAACCGGGCTTGTCCCGAACCTCAACGTGTCAGCCGCGCTCCTCGCCTTTGTGTTCATCCGCACGTGGACCAAGATGCTCCACAGGGCCGGCTACGTCACGAGGCCGTTCACCAGGCAAGAGAACACCATGATCCAGACGTGCGCGGTCGCGTGTTATAGCATTGCTGTTGGAGGTTAGAGGGACCTCATTTGAATCAGTGAAATGACTTAGCTACGGTTTTAATCAGCTTGTTCTTGATTCCTTTGTTAATCAAACGGCATGGATTCTTTTTTTTGCGTTCAGGTGGATTTGCCTCATATCTATTGGGGTTAAACAGGAGGACATACGAGTTATCAGGAGTGGACGCCGAGGGAAATTCCCCAAAGGCTGTGAAGGAACCTGGGCTTGGTTGGATGACTGGTTATCTCTTTGTGGTTTGCTTTGTGGGTTTATTTGTGCTGATTCCACTTAGGAAGGTACAATGAGTTTGATAAGGTCAACATAGAGTCTGTGTTTATAATAAGAAACTATTGTTTACAAGGAGTTTTGTCATACCAGATCCTGATTGTCGATCTCAAATTGACATATCCGAGCGGTTTGGCGACAGCGGTGCTCATCAACGGCTTCCACTCACAGGGAGACAAAATGGCCAAGTATATATACATTTTGCACCATAAATACCCGGAATTGTTCATAGACAAATGTGAACTCTAAGCGGCAATGACGGTCGTTGTGCGCAGGAAGCAAGTTCGAGGGTTCATGAAGTGCTTCTCTTTCTCATTCCTGTGGGGCTTCTTTCAGTGGTTCTACAAGGGCAAGGATGGTTGCGGGTTCGCGCAGTTCCCCACTTTCGGATTACAAGCTTGGGAGCAAACGTGTGTGGTTTGCGCATTTTTTCCGCTCTTATACTCGGAACTTCAGCGAGCCTATTTATGACTAGCTAGTTAACTTCATTGCTCTTGTTTGATGAAACGTTGTTCTCCAGATTCTTCTTCGACTTCAGCATGACCTTCGTCGGAGCGGGAATGATCTGTTCCCACCTGGTGAATCTGTCTCTGCTTTTCGGCTCTGTGATCTCCTACGGCATCATGTGGCCGCTCATCGATCACCACAAGGGAGACTGGTTTTCCGATGGCCTGGAAGAGAGTAGTATGAAGAGCTTATATGGCTATAAGGTCTCTCTCTCTAGTAAAGCATAGGTGAAAGTGAAGAAACGCCGTTCTCAAATCTACTCGCTCTCTTATTCATTTTGTTCTTTGGTCTCACAGGCGTTTATCTCCGTGGCTCTGATCCTTGGCGATGGGCTCTACAATATTCTAAAGATTATGTTTGTCACAATCATTAACATCCATGGAAAGATGAAGAACCGAAACCAAAAGCCTGTTACAGGTAGATGATGCATAACCTTCAAGATCAAATCTTCTTGATTACCATGGCTTGTCTAGTTGGTCAACAAATTCATGTTGCACAAATTAAGGTGTTGGCCGTAAGGACTGGCATTTCGCGGAATCTTAATGATCAAGCATATTTAGATGGAGTCGAATTGTCAGTTTTTATGCCTTGCTGTGGAAAAAAGTGATCAAGACAGCATTTATAATCTGTGACGTACCAAGCTTTAGTTCAATTGAAGTTACAGTGTTTTAAGATGCCCATCGTGGAACTTCAAACTTCTAGCACATTTCTTCTCTTTATGCAAAAAGGTGTGTGCTTGTGCATTCCCTAAGTTTGACTCCCGGATACTTCTTTTTGATCTCATGTTTCCACTTCGATGCAGCTGAAGAAGACGAGAGCAAAACCCTCGAGGACAAAAGACAAAACGAAGTCTTTCTGAGAGAGAGCATCCCTCTGTGGATAGGACTCGCCGGATACGGCCTCTTCTCCGTTGTATCCATAATCGTGATCCCCATCATGTTCCCTCAGCTTAAATGGTACTTCGTCGTTGTCGCGTACATTCTCGCTCCTTCCCTAGCTTTCTGCAACGCATATGGAGCCGGACTCACTGACATGAACATGGCCTACAACTACGGCAAAGTGGCTCTCTTCATCATTGCCGCCACAACGGGCAAGGAAAATGGCCTAGTCGCCGGCCTCGCAGGGTGCGGCCTCATCAAGTCCGTTGTCTCTGTGGCGTGCATCCTGATGCAAGATTTCAAGACGGCCCATTTCACGCTCACATCCCCTCGGGCAATGTTTCTCAGCCAGGTCATCGGCACAGCCATAGGATGCGTGGTGGCTCCCTTAAGCTTCTTTCTATTCTACAAGGCGTTTGACATAGGAAATCCCAATGGAGAATTCAAAGCCCCGTATGCTCTGATCTACAGGAACATGGCGATCTTGGGTGTTCAGGGGTTCTCGGCTCTGCCTCGCCATTGCTTGCAGCTCTGCTACGGGTTCTTCGGTTTTGCAGTGGCTGTGAACCTCATAAGAGATCTCGGGCCACCAAAGGTAGGGAAGTGGATGCCGCTTCCGATGGCCATGGCTCCCCCGTTTCTGGTGGGGGCATATTTCACGATCGATATGTGCTTGGGGACTTTGGTCGTGTTCATTTGGCAGAAGCTTAATGCGAAGAAGGCGGAGTTGATGGTCCCTGCGGTGGCTTCAGGGCTGATATGCGGAGAGGGACTGTGGATTCTTCCAGCTTCGGTCCTAGCCTTGGCCAAAATAAAGCCTCCCATTTGTATGAAGTTTTTGCGTTCCTAAAGGCCCTAGCGTAAACGTTACATAGTTACGATAGAAGATTAATTATCCACTAAGTAGATGACAGCATGGAATCTACCATTGGAAAGCTATTGTAATACGGCCTAGACCGTGAAAGTCATAGATATGTGATGATTAGTCCTTCCACTAGATCCTAAACAAAGCAAAAACCATATCCACGGTTCTGTAGCTCTCCAAAAGATGCCGGAAATAGCCGTGCGAGACCCAGAACAGTGCCCATGTAACAGAATAAGCCCATCTAACAGTATGTATTTTGCAGAAAATCGATTTACATGTAAAGCGACTGATCAGCTGATCGTCCTTTATGAGAATAATGTTGATGTTCGCATAATCATGGAGTCGAAGTTCCTTTATTGCCTTACATCATATAACCGTGACGTAGAAAAAGTGAATCGAACAATTGAACAATGACAAGAGTTGACAGCATAAGTTCGAACAACTAATTGAACAGAACCCCACGGATGTCGAATCAGATAATTGTCAAAAACCACTTTTGTGGGAAAAGAAAAGTGTGAAATATACAAAAATTGTCTGGGAAACCGCATTTCTATAACTCATCACGATCTCAAGAAGATTGTCTGGTAATACATCCATAAGTGATATAAAAATTTCAGCCTGTTATGATACCTGCCAATACATCACTCTTTCCTCGTGCATAAATTGTATATACCAAACGGATAGCATCGAGCCAACCATCCAAGGACTCCCAGGAATCGGCTACCTGAATGAATCATGGGTAGATGCCACTTAAAAGTGTCCTTAAATAGAATCTAGTGTACTCAGTATAATTTATACATTTAAAGAGACAAATGTACCTACACCAAAAACATGCAAAAGACATGTACTGAATTTCACTATCCCAGCTCCATGATGCTTTTGACTTAACATCTCAAAAGCAAGAAGTATGCATTATCTTCTTAACTGAGAGATATTCAGTTAATTAAAAGCACCATTCACACTGAATGTCACAAAACCTTTTCATGTTAACAACATCAACAGATGGTCAAGATCACAGAAAATAGGAAAAATACTTTCAATGAGTCATCGACACAAGTCACACAACACTGTACTTTCATGAGAATTACATGCCTTGCCTTTTACATGCCATAACATCATCCAACTAGTTTGCATCATAAACAAGATACTTCAGACAAAATGCTGATTGGAATAACTGTCAAAGTCAGCCAGTCAAAAGAAAAGAGAATAAGGGTACTAGATACTAGACATGAGTCAACCTCACTGTCACAATAAAAGGTCAAACCAGCAGTACATTACATCTGAGTTATGAGCCACTTACCATGAAAACTGGTCCATGAATCGTGTCAATACAGAGGCCTGGACCAGGTGGTAAAGTGAGATCCGAACATGGTGAAACAGACACGATATCTGGAATGTTGACTTTAGTTGCTCTTCTGTCAGTATGGGCTAACTCTCCAGATCTGTTGGAAAGACCTTGAGGTGCTTGTTTTTGGTCAACAGTGTTGAGCTGCTAAGAGAGAAGGGAAAGAAACCAATATTCAGCAGAAGCAGAGCAGTGGACCATTTTCTGGCTCGATAACAAGATGGGCACAGCTAGTACATGGCTTAAGGTCTGACTCTGTTGTTGAATCACTAGGAGGCTTGGCATGTTATCATTTTTAGATTCAAACAACAACCAACCTTCAGATTTAGCAAAATGGAAGGCAAGAAATGATAGGCTTCTCAAATTGGAAGGATAGTTCTAGAAACATATTAAGAGTAGATATACAAGAAATCCACCAGAAAAGAAAGATATACAACACCTGAGCAAGACCTTCATGGTTTAGAACAAATTGCGATCTCTTCCAATCACTGTGAGGTGCAACCGGGCTCCCCACAGGTGGTGCCGTCAAATATCCGACCTTAAGATAGGGCAATGGTAGCTGCCAATGCCAGAATAACAATAATTGATTCATTAAAACAAGGAAATCAGATGCAAAATGAAATCAAAATCCAATATTTGTTCAATTAGAAAGTGTAATCAAGAGAACCTCTGCAAGTATTAAACTGCAAGTGTGATCCACTTAAATAACTTAAAGAATTATCAGTGTCAGAAAAGTGTGCAGAACAAGAGAACTTTCAAAGCCATAAAACAAAGATCAGATCTTTAACGATGTTTGTTCCAGTTCTATCTTATTTCATAGAGATGGAGGTCTAGGTAGGCCCATAGAATGAATAAACCAACATGGGATCTTTAGTGTTTATACACAAAAATAATTGAAAGTTAAGATAAGCAACGTCATCCAAACTCTTTCAACCCATAAGGCACATTTAAGCCCATACTGCACACAGTTGTCTAAGTTCATTCAGAATAACTGGGAATAGATTTCATCACTAGCTTAAGTCTCAATTGTTCACTGAGTACAGAAAACAAAGCAGTAAGATGCCACCAACAGGCCTTATGAGATAGAGGGTCGATGAAATATTAATTCCCATAACTGGTATACAGTATTACTAACCATGGATCGTACGAGCCTCAAGGCACTGCTGTAAACCTGTACGAAGGAAAAAACAATAAAAGCTTAGTAGCAGCTCAAACGTGAATTATGTAAAACAAATGCTCAGGACCACCCGCTAATTTCAAAATTATTCGAAGGGCAATTTCAGGATATCGCACCTGATCAGCAACACCTTTCCTGTATTAACTTGTGGGGGGGGGGGGTTAGAGAGAGAAAGAGGGAGAAGGTCCTAGTTTATGCCAATTTACTTGATGTCTCAGGTCTATGTTTGACAGATTTTCTACATTTGATAACAGTATAAAGAACTCCCACACAATAAGGACAAGCGCGTTAGCTAAGCAGACATTTCAGAGGCAAACGGGAAAGGCGAATACCGAGTAACTTGGTTTTAATGCATGAGCAGCTGCAATATAGATAGCTGATTGGCAGTACAGTTCATTAGGAGAAATTTCTTTTGCATTGGCCGATCCCCCCGTCCTTAATGTGTCCTCTGCCAATCCATACTGCCAACATTGTTCCAGCAAATAGAATAAATATCTTCTCTCTCTAAATATATCATGCAAAAGTTGCAATAGAATTTTACGTTTGGTATCTGTATGATACACATTGTTTAACTACCTATCACAGTAAATATATTAAATTATACTAACCAGAACAGTCCCAAGGTTGTAAATTGCTCGATGGAAATCAAATTGTAACTGTATTGCTGCACGAAACTGCATCATAGGCAGAAAAGAGACGCGATGAAGTAGAGTTGACTGAAATTTTAGAGGAGAATGAGGCTACAAAATTAGATAAGCTACCCCTACACAATCAGTAAAATTCTGCTAGTTCTGCAATAATTTGCCCACCTTGCTTATAGCAGTTCTCACTATGGTTTGTTTCTCACGAGCAGGAACAATTGCACTGAGTTCCTACATAGAATGCTCAAAGTTAATACTAAAAGAAAAATTTTCATATTCAGCTTAAATAATTTGCCGATATCTGCAGGAATATGGATGACTACCCCTCTGAAGTTTGAAGTCTTTTTGCATAAGGGGCAATACCCCCTCACAGTACCTTTTATACTATAATTTTCCTTATCCTACAGATAGAAAAAAGATCCAGAAAAGGAGCAAACAGAGTACTTTTGTCACAGTATTGTGAAACTACTAGCTGTTTAACGAAACGTACCTGTAAAGCAAGTCCCCAGTTGTTAAGTGCCTGCAAAAAGATGGTGTGAAGGTTTTGTCAATTTATTGATCTGCAAATTCTCAGCTTCATTGAAAATCACTTCCAGAATAAGTCATAAAAAACCACATTCAAATGCACAAAAAATTGTAAAAAATGAAAGCTGTAGCAGATATGCTTAAGATGAAGTACCCTACTACGATGAGCATACCTGAGGACTGTTCCAATTAAGTTGGACTGCTTTTTCATAGTTTCTGGTTGCCTGCAAAACAAGATGAACAATAACTTACAATGCAAAGCAGCATAGAGATTTTGAGCAAAACAAATAAACTTAATGATTTGAAATTGGCATACACTCTAGGTTCTGCCATTCTAGACAAACATAGTATCTCTTTGTATATGTAGGATGGTTCTTTCTTATCATAATCGAGGAATATCGACTTATTTAGGCTCAGAACTACAACTAGTACTACTACCAAGACCACATCCATGGGCAAACCTACGCTGGCCAGTTGGGTACTCATTGCCCAGGCCCACCCGTGATTTAAGAAAATGTTATATTTTCTTCATCAAATGACCTGGCCCAAAAAGGACCATGCTTGCCTAGACCCACCCAAATTCTAAGGCCCGGTGGGCTTGGATGGACTAGCTAGCTACCGAGCTACTATTGCTACTACTACTACTATGATGAAAAGGCCTTATCCCATTAAGTCGGCATCGATTATATGGATCCTCTCACACCATTTCACCTAATTTTGCAGCAAATCGTCATTTAGCTCCAAATGATCAAGATCTCTTTTCATGTCTTTTTAGGCTTTCTCCAGCCCCCTTTAACTCATCTCTCCGAGTCAATCATAGAGTCGCATTCACGCAGAAGAGCATAATGAGTGAGGGCGGAAAAGACAGAACACAGTCCAAAAGTTGTAGATGAGAGTTCTTAGTATAGAAAAATTTTCTTTCACAATGTGGAATAAAAACTTCAATTAACAAAATACAGATTGCATATCACAAACTACAAATGTAGTATTTATGTGGGAAAAAGAGAAGTCTAGGCATGTGAGTTGCAACCAGAAGTGCTTTAGAAAGAAGATCAAAGAAGGTTGTATGGTATTGGGGGGCTCAAGTCTAATAGTGGTGAGGCAGATGTGGATAAATCTCGAAACCAGCTTAAAATATATAATCCAGGTAACTAACCATATTTGGTGGATAGGCTTTGATACTGGTGTCACCTAGTTAAATTTAAGACTAATCATAAACAGGAAATGCCCATTTTAGAATAGCAATAGGGTGAAAAAGGAAGAAATATAAAGTTTATTTTGCTGTCGAGAGATCAAACTTAGAGCATGAATGCCCTAGCTGTTCCCAGAAAATCTTACAGGGATGTGTCAATATAGCTCCAGATGGAGCATTTGCCTCACCTGGAAACTACTCTATACACCTCTGCAAAAGTACAGTTGTAATTGAGGACATAAAGATCGGTTTCTTGTCTGGAATAAAAATAGGTAACGATTTAGATAGCGTCTAACTCCCATGAGTAGCCTGACCAATCATCACTTGGTTAAGATTTTGATAGTTTGAGTATCTAGGATGTAGTCATTGGTCCAGTTCCCAAGATATCATAAATTGAGTAGTTACTTCTTGTCCCTGCTCTAGTTTGATTGTCATTTTCACGAGTTCCTACTGGCTAAAGCATTAAAAAGCATTTCCAATTTGCAACCACGGACTTCTTAAATTTCAAATAGCTAACAGGTACAAGTCAGTTTCAGGGGTTTTTCTTTAATCAAAACATTTAAGAGATAAACAGCTACAATTTATTGAATGGACTGCATCCTGTGAATGCAAAGCGCTTGATGCTATGTTTGAAATTTTAAAAGAATGTCGCACTATAATTTATCATTATGGCCCCATCAACTAATAGCTCAATTAGATGGCAGCAGAGAAGACTTAACAGACAAAGCAAAAACAATCCCAAATACAAGAAAACCATTGAAACGAAGATGAGGTAAAAACCTGCTTCCAGAACTCTTCAGCCTCCTTTGTACGACCTCGCATTTTAGCCCTGTCAGATATAGCTATTGCCCAGTTGTAGAAAGCCTGCCAGAATAGTAAAACAAAAAGAAAGCGGTGACCAATGAGAAAATACATTCACGAACCAACAAAGTCATAGATGCAGGCACACGGTTAGATGTAGTAGATTGTCCCATTGCCTAATGATCAAGAGGTAATTCATCTAATTAATGTGTAAACAAGCAAGACCTTGCAAAATGCTCATCAATAAATTATTCATAATGTAATTCATCTAATTCAAATGTAATTCTTCAGCTTCAAAGTATTCTCCAACAAAAAATGGGTTTCTCACAGGGTCCTCTATTAGTCAACATGTCAGTCTATCCAAGAAAAATTTTGCTTGCTTACATCATGAAGTGTAGGGCAAAGACGGGTAGCCTCATCATATTTTTTACAGGCCTCCTCAAGTAAAGCGTCCTTTGAAGGTGATGTGGAATCAGGACTAACAACATCCGCACTTTCCTGCATGAGTCAAACTCTAGTTAGATAGAATAATCACACAGCATAGAGGATGAGTACACAATCTTCTGAAGTGGCATGACACCAATGACACTTTTTATAATTCTGAAATTACATTGCAGAAGAATACAAAAGAATCTTAACCATACGAGCATGAGACCATTGTTAGACTCGTCAGAGTTCTTATCACATATATGTTATGCTAGACAGCGTAGAGGAAAATAGAGAAAAAGGCTGTGCCAAAGTCAACCTTCTACTTCAATATTGCAGTTAGTCAACTGTAACTGACTTAGGGAAATGTAAAACATAATAAAATATGCCCGCTGGCACTTGGTGTCTTCGTTTCATCAATAAATAAAAGTCTCATGTTGATAGAAAGCTATCACGTATGCTCCAGCAGTAGTCCATGTACAATATCACGTAGGCACAATAAGAATCATCATTGTCCATGAATAGGACATTTCTATAGAACTATGTCACAGCTCAGAGGAGATTTGCTGTGGATCCAAGAAAGTATTGTAAATTTATACAATGAAACAATAAATCAAACAGAACCCAGACCTGAAGAACCAAAGCCCAATTATATAATGCATCGTAATCTCCTGGATTTCTGGAAATTGCACTAGCATACCTACAAAATATCATTATTCATTAAGTATCACATAAGTTATTACCTATGGAATTACCAAAGAACCTTAATCAAAGACAATGCTAGTGCCGATTCACGCGCAACCCTCTATTCTTTTATGACGGAAAGAAATATGATTGAGAAAATGTCATAGGATGCAGTCAGATGAAATTTCTCTTAAGCACTAAATATGTTGGAGAAAAGGCCTCTGGTTATGATTGAATATCATAGTTCCAACTGCTAGTTATTATAATACATGTCAGCACCTTCGAGCGGCATATGTAAGAATACGTTGACGAGACCTGCCCTCCTCATCAACACCAGTAACGCTATCAATCAACTCCATTGCAGCATTATTCTGCTCCGCATTAGATTGTTGCATGCTTTCTTGACTGAATAATACAAAATACACACAATATGAGGCTTCGCAAGAAGTATCAGAACAAATTAAAGTTCACAACAATGGCTTCAACTTCTCACGATAAGACAATAAATAGAGCACAAATTGCTTTTGTAAGAAAGAAGCAACGAAGGCAGCTAGAACTTGACAAGATTATAAATTCATGTAATTATACTGGCTACTTAACTCCAGGAATAAGATATATCACAAGCTATGAAAATCATCATCAGCTGTGACAAATGCCATTAGAGTTCTCAAAGGCAAGATGGTAATCATTATTAAAGACAGCCTTTTCATCTTGCAAAATCTTAACAATCATTGCGAATATAGTGAAAGTTGAATAAAGCTTTGTTTTTTATGCCCAATAGATGTCAATTTTAGACCAAGGATCCTATAATTACCTAACAATCTCCTCCAAAATAACATATTCAGCTAATTATTAGCACAAATAATGCAGGATATAGTAAAAGTTGAAGCTTTAAAGCTAAAGCGAACAGCCCGCCATGCAATTTCACAGTGGAATGCCTAATTCACAACTGAATCATCTGGTAAACTTAAAAAATTTAACCACATCAGCGAAACAGCTGCCCCCCCCTACAATTGATGTAAATTTAGAACCATGATTGCCCTCGACGAGAATACATCATAATTTCTCGATCTGAATTAGTAAAAACTGCGATAAACGACCAATAATTATAGGATCAGAGCTCTGACAAATGCTTCAAACACTCGCGCACGGTAGATCAAAAACCCCTAAACCCTAAAAGTTCAGATTTTAACTTGCCCCAACGAACTTGAAACTCCCAATCTTAATAACGCCAACCCAGAATTTCCATAGAACTTCACCGGTCCTCGAGGATCCAATTAGGAGTGCCCACAAAGCATCAGCTCCATTCCGATCCTAACCACCGCGACCAATCATTTCGAACACACAATCTCAAGCCCAACCCATCAAGCAAATCGGAGCTCTGACCTGTACGGAGAACTCACTTCTCGCCTCTCCCCGTCCGGGTTCTTCGGGCTCTCGGCCGCATCGTCGTTCTTCAATTCGTTCAGCAACTCCCGCATCGTGAACGTGCGGTTCCCCTCGTCCTTCCGCAGCTCCGGACGCGCCGGCGCCTCTTCCCCCGTCGGAGAAGGGTCGCTCTCCGGTTCGCCGGATTGGATCGCTGCGTCTTCGGGCTCTTCCCTCCGGGGATCTGCATCGCTCGACGCTATCTCCGGCGCTTCCGGTTCGGGTTCGGGTTCATGGTCGGGCCCTTGTTGCAGTTCGGGTTCTTCGGTGGTCGTAGACATTGGCAATGGCTGATCTAGAGAGAGAGAGAGAGAGAGAGAGAGATCTGTTTAAACAAGAATGTTACGGAGGAGACAACTGTTGATGTTGGACTTGAGAGGAAAGTAAATGTGATTATTCCTAAAACTCGTGATTTCATATTTGGTCCTCTCTAAACTTGTCATTATGCAATGGAGTCCTCCGGTAAATCAAACTTGTGCAATTGAGTCCCCCTCCCTTTGCGGTGTAAAATCGCTCTTGTCGCCCAACTGAACTGAAAGAGGACGAGCCGGAGGTCCGAGTGAGGCTCTTTAAACTTATCATTATGCAATGGAGTCCTCCGATAAAGGGAAAATTCCAATTAAGGACCCCAAGTGGGGTCAAATTCTCAAAAATGGGTCAAAGTGAGCATTGTGTCGAATAAGAGCGAAGTCTTTCAATCGTCTCGAATAAGGGCCAGAAGTGCCCAAAATGTCTCAAATAAGGACACAGGTCCTGGTAGAGCCAAAATACACTGTGGCCGCGAGAAAGTTCTTGTTCGACCTTAGGAACAGTAACTTTTTAACTTTTTTATTATTTTCTTTCTTTTTTCCTTTTCTGTTTTTATTCTTTTCCTTTTCCTTTTCCTTTTCTTTTTTTTTTTATTTTTTTTTATTTTCTTCCTCCGCCGGCCATAGCCGGGCCTGGCGTGAGGTCGCCGGACTCGAGCGAGGTCGCCCTCGCCGCGTCGGCCGAGGGCCGCCTCGCCGGGGCCGGGCGAGGTCGCCCTCGCCGCGTCGGCGAGTCGCCCGCCGGCGTCAGCGGCCGGCCTCGCCCGGTTGCGGGCGAGGTCGAGCCTCGCCCGGATCGGCTAGGGCTCGGCCTCGCCGGGCCCGGCGAGCTCGACCTCGCCGGGCTCGCCGCGTCCGGCGAGGCCGGCCTCGCCCGGTGCGAGCGAGGTCGAGCCTCGCCCGGTTGCGGGCGAGGTCGAGCCTCGCCGGTGTTAGGCGAGGCCGGCCTCGCCCGATTGCGGCCGAGGTCGAGCCTCGCTGGTTGTCGGGCGAGGCGGCCTCGCCAATTGCGAGTGAGGTCGAGCCTCGCCGGATCTGCGAGGGCTCGGCCTCGCCGGCCCGGGCGAGGCTCGACCTCGCCGGCCGGGCGAGGCTCTACCTCGCCGGCGTCGGGCGAGGTCGAGCCTCGCCGCTGCAGGCGAGGTCGAGCCTCGCCGGCTTGCAAGCGAGGCCGGCCTCGCCGGCCAGGTGGCGAGGTCGAGCCTCGCCGTTGTCGGGCGAGGCCGGCCTCGCCGGCTGGGCGGCGAGGCTCGCGAGGCCGGCCTCGCCTGACACCGGCGAGGTCGAGCCCTAGCCAGATCTGGCGAGGCCGGCGAGGTCGAGCCTCGCTAGCGGCCGGCGAGGTCGAGCCCTAGCCAGATCTGGCGAGGCCGGCGAGGTCGAGCCTCGCTAGCGGCCGGCTATGGCCGGCGGAGGAAGAAAATAAAAAAAAAAAAAGAAAAGGAAAAGGAAAAGAACAAAAACAGAAAAGGAAAAAAGAAAGAAAATAATAAAAAAAATTAAAAGTTCTTGTTAGGTCTTCGAACAAGTAACTTTCTCGCCGGCCAGCGTATTTTGCTGCGCCGGGACCCAGTCCTTATTTGAGACATTTTGGGCACTTCAGGTCCTTATTTGAGACTGATTAAGCACTTCAGGCCCTTATTTGACATAATATTCACTTTGGACCCCTTTTTGAGAATTTGACACCACTTGGGGTCCTTAATTGAAATTTTCCCAATTTAAATTTGTGCAATTGAGTCCTCCTCCCTTTACAGCGTAAAATCGCTGTTGGCGTGCGGCTGAATTGAAAGAGGACGAGCTAGAGGAGAAAGTGAGACCAAAAAGTCGTGGGGCGAAGAGTTGTGACGGTGCTAGTCATTCCTCTTATTGAGGGATTGTTGCATCTGACAAGGGTCTTTGGCCCTCACCCGAGCTATGTTCGCTAATTAAGCGAGCAATCGTGGCAATGCCGCCATCGAAATCTCTCCTTTCCCATATCAATCGAGAGAATGATTTGATTTTATAAATTGAACAAAATAGAGAACTTCACAAAACAAGAGTTTGAATACTTAAGGGATAATGACAGAAACTGATGCACCTAAGGGGGACCGGCGGACCCGTTATGCGACTGGACGAATCGGCAGGTTTGGAGTCAACGATATCAGATTGAGCTCAAATTTGGTCGGCTGAAGCGAAACGGCGTGCTGATCAATACTCACCGCCTTTGGCCGTGACTAACGATGGATTTTCGCGATTCAAGATTGTTTAGATGGATTTTTCTATTTTTTTAGTATTTTTTTATGGGTTAATTTAGTAGAGGGCAGTTTCGTAATTTTGCGTTTTGATGTTTACTAATCCTAGTAGGGTTAGGTTTGGGGATATATAAGCTTGTTTTAGGGTTTCCTTTGAGTAGACTTTGAATATTTTGATTTGATAATCATACTTGGAGGACGAATTGTTCTTCTGTCGAATTTTCTTGTTCAGTCAAATTTTCTATCGCGTTTCGGCATCAGAAACAGTCCATGAACTTTGGTCCGATGTGCAATTTGGTCCTTGAACTTTTAATTTGTTTGATATAATCCTTGAAATTTAGTCTAATGTTTGATATGGTCCTTGAACTTTTAATTCGTTCAATGCAGTCCCTAGACTTTTAATACATGTTCAATGTGGTCCCTGTACTATAAAATTTAGGGACTTATTGTGTCATTTTCCCAGTACTCAATTGTACCAACAAAACAAGTTGAAAGATCAAATATGAAATTTGTCACATTTAGAAAGTGTCAAATTCCTAAAAAGCATCAACTTTAACTCGAGTCTCAATTTTGATCCAACATTTTTTCATCTCGTAAAAAAGGCACTACTTTAGCACGAGTCCCAATGTTGGCCCTAACTTTTTTTGACTCGTAAAAAACAATAACTTTAGTTCAAGTCCTAATTTTTGCCCAATTTTTTTTTACTCATAAAAAGCACCAACTTTCATTGGTATCCAAATTTGGCCCTCGTGAAGTTTCTGTCCAAACTTTAGTCAGGAATCACCGAGTACACATGGAATGACATGTCGCATCTTTAATGGCATCATTGAATGAAAACTTGATAGGGGCCGGATTTGGGCACTGACGAAAAGTTGGTAATGTTTTACAATACAAAAAAAAAGTTAATACTTTTCACGAGACAGAAAAGTGTGGGCTACAATTAAGACTCAGGTTAAAGTTAATGCTTTTTTTATGAAACAAAAAAAAATGAGGCCAAAATTGAGATACGAGTTAAAGTCGATTCTTTATAAGGGAACATTCGGCTTGAAGAATCTCACCAAAATTAAGAGAATTAGTAAATAGGTTTAGTTTATGGTGCCCTAAAATACTGTGCCTTTTTGCAACGTGAGACAACCTCAACAATCTCCCCTTCACACATTGAGCCTGGGTTGGAACCGCAACAACCCAAACTCTCATGTGTGACTATTGGGTCCACACTTATTTACAACATGGGCTCTAATACCAGTGTTGGTTGTTTTTGGATCTCTTTCACCTCAAAAGCTAGCTCAAAGGATGAGGTTTTCTTTTATACTTATAAACCGACCACCGTCCCCTTCCACAACCGATGTGGGACAACCTTGACACTTAGGCCATATATTAGTTCAGCTTTCTCATAGTTAAAACATAAAGAGTAATAGATTGTAACATTTGCATCATCGAGTTCTTACTTGTTTCATGAAAAATAAACATCTTAGGAAATACTTTCTGAAGGTTGTTTATATTACTTATCAAATGAGTTAATGGAAAATATTTTTATTATCATCGAAAATGTCTAGGCATGTATTACTGTCAATAACAAACATACTTTTCACTTATTCATTTTTCAGAGCGATAAAAGCAATTAAAATTAGAAACTTATTTTCCATACTCCATGAAATAAGCAGATTGTTAAAATTGATTTAGCGCAAACATCTTCTTTACATTGTAAGCAAATGTTGAACATCATAAATCACAATTTCTTTTATCATATGATAATTATTTGCGGCATATCTATTTGTCTTGTGAGGTTAGGAAATGACATATTCTTTCACTTGAATAAAATTTGTGAATACATTTCATTAGCTTCGAAATAAAGTAGCTTCCAAAGGCTCCGAGGAGGGGGGGTAGGAGGTCCAATTTCGCGGAAGGCAATTTGTTCTTTGGGCTTTAACAACCCAATATGCCACTCGGTTGGATTTTCTGTTAACATGGGCCAGCCAACTTCATATTTGAATAGGGCCTTAAAAGATCATGGGCTTCACTGATAAGTGCGCTCAACTGCCAACTGATCTGTGCTGTTCTAGTTAGGCTAATTGATCTGATTCAACTTCAAGAGAGCCTTCAGATCGGCGCTTGAAGTACGCAAGGGGGCTTTCAATCAAAGCCCTTGCTTCGACCCAAATAGTATTTAAACTTTGATCCAATGTCCAATCTGATCCTTGAACTTTAACCTAATGTGTAATGTAGTTGCTGAACTTTTAATTTGTTCAATGTCATTCATGAACTTTTGGTACATGTTTAATTTAATCCATGAATTTTTGGTACATTTTTATATAGTTCATGAACTACATTGGATATAAACCAAAAGTCTGGGGATCATATTTAACAAATTAAAAGTTTATGGATAACATTGAATATTAGGCTAAAGTTCAGGGATTATATTGAACAAATTAAAAGTTTAGGGACTACATTGCACATAGGGCTAAAGTTCATGGACTATTTATATCATTATCCCAAGTTAATTTCACTAGGAGAGCTGCTGTTTCCACACCCCAAATACACAGCACAATTAACATTTATCCATCTACATAGCAAACCTACCTAGGGGTGTCAAAAACCAAACCGAAAACCAAATCGAAACCGGAACCAAATCGAAATTTCGTGCATTTTCGGTTTGGTTAGGATAATTGAAAAATAACAGTTCTTTTCTTCCAGTTCGGTTTATTAATTGAAATTTTCAATAAAAGCTGAATGCTTTTTCTCGCCTCTCTCAAAATATTCTGAAAAATCCTAATATTCGGTTTTCTCATCCAACCCGAAATCTGAACCTAACCGGGGTTTTTGTTTCGGTTCATTTTCGATTCATCATGAGGTTCAGTTCGGCTTGATTTGGCTTTTCAAAAAACCGTTGACACCCCTAAATCTACCCCTCCCCCTAAGTTCACCATTTCACTTTCTTCTATCACACCAAGCTAGTCCGACAATGTGAGGTAGCTCTTCCGTCTTCACAATCGCCCGCGGCAGATCATGGGGAAGATGGACATGCTACCTCTGCACGGTATCTATCTTCAAGGAAAAGGTCAAGATTGGGCTTATTCCCCCCCATTGCAAGCATGAATCTCTTAACCCCAAAATCCTGGCGAATGCCGTTGTTGTTGCTGGCTCTTTTGCAGGATAGATAGTGATGACAACACCAGCTGCTACTGCAATTGAACTATACGCAAGTGCCAACATGTTGAAGAATTGAATTCTTGAAGCGTATGCGTACACAGAATTGCTTATTTTACCGTTTTCTCTACTCATTGCGTATTCATCATCTGCATCGTTGCCTCCATGTTCGCGATTCATATGTTATCTCTATTAATTTTTATTAAACTACTGGTCATGACATGTTCATCCGATTTCTTATTGTTCGAGAGAGGCTCAACTTGTGGATATTTAATTTATAATTCTCAACTTTTGGAAGAAGAATATCATAGGTTAAAAGTAAGTGTATATGCAAAATAATTATTAAAAGTCATTTCAAACACACATAATATTTGCAATGACTCGGTCTAATTTCCCATCTTGCTTTTCTCCACCTAAGAGGAAGAGTAAGTTCATACGGGGACCAAAGAGGTGACCCACTCTCTTCAAATGGACCCCTATTAGCTTATTGTTCAATTTTTTCCGTTTAAAACGCCCGCAACAGAAGTAAAACTTAGAAATCTTATAGGAAAGAACATAAATAGACCAATGGTAAGCAGAAGTTATCCAATTCACCCCCCGCAAGTTTCATGGAATCGGGCAGCGACAAGAAACAAAATTAGTCTGGCATTAATGGGTTTGCTTAAAGCCCTTAAACACAAATTGAAATGGTCACCAATTAGGCGTTACGTTAGGTTAACAAATTCTATTGGCTCATACCAATTCAGCTCACCAACTTCCTCCTCCTCACATGCCCCCCATCACTCTTCCCCCTCTTTATATGCTCAATAAGTCGATAGACTCAGCACCACCGTTTCAGTCACCTCCGGCATCACCAGCAGCTGTCTTTGGCTTCTGCTCCACCGTCGGAAGATGTCCAGCAACAAGACGGCCGCCGCCGCTGAGCGTGCGGGAGCGGAGATCGTGAACGGCGCGGAGGAGTGCTACCGCCACTCCATAGAGCTCCTCCAAGAGCTCGGTTTTCCCAAGGGTGTCCTTCCACTGAAGGTGAGGCGTTCGGCGCGATAACCTAATTCGATTCGGTCCGGTCCAGTTCAGTTCAATTCGATATTACCCATTCCCTTGCCCCCTAAGTTCGAACTTTCTTAAATAGTATTCAATATTTCTTTTCTACAATGATATATACAAAATTTGAGGATTAAGATTTGTGTCTGGCTTGTAAAACTGAAATTCACGGTCCATGGGTCCTTGTTCAGGACTTGGAAGAGTGCGGGCGTGTGCGGGAGACGGGGTTCGTGTGGATGAAGCAGAAGGCGCCGTACGAGCACTTCTTCGTGAACACGGGGACGCGCGTGAGCTATGCGACGGAGGTCACCGCCTACGTGGAGAAGTCGAGGATGAAGAGGATGACCGGGATCAAGAGCAGGCAGATGTTCCTATGGGTCCCCATCACGGAGATGAGCTTCGAGGAACCGACGGCCAGCAAGATCATGTTCAAGACGCCGATGGGGATCGGCAAGTCCTTCCCGGTCACCGCCTTCATGACGGACGAGGAAAAGAACAAGTACTTGCTGGAGAGGGGAAATTGAAAGATCGGTTCGCTACAAAAATAAACGAAAGTCTCTTTGATTTCTGCTTATTCTGCTCTTATTTTGTCGGAGATTGTCCAATTTGTTTTCTTGGATCAGACCATGGATATCTTCTGGTCATTCTGCCGATGATTAATCTTTGAATTGCATTGGCATATGACAGTCATTGTTTTAGTTTCTTGTTAAAGTGTCCAAGTAATCTGATCATGGGCCTGATCGGGCCGCACCGTTCGCCTAGATTTTGATTGCATCTGCGTCAGCTACCATCTTCCAATACCAAGGCCCGTATGTTACGCAGAATCGCCCAACACATTTGTCACATGGGTCCTGACGACGTATCTTTGTGTCTTTTCTTTTAAGGTCCTAAAGGATTTCTTTTTTTTTTTTTTTTTTTTTTATGAAAGTGAATATGGACGGTACGACCGCCTACGGTCGGTGAGGGTCGCCGGCCAGGGGTGTCAACGGTTCGGTTCGGGTTTTTTTGAAAAATCGAACCGAACTGTTTGGGTGTACGCTTAAACTGAACCGAATCTCGAGCCGAACCGAATATGAACCGAACCGAACCTGGATCGGATCAGTTCGGATGAGAAAATTGGATATTAGGATTTCTCATGGTAATTTTGGGAGAAAGAGCATTCGGTTTTTGTTGAGAATTTCAGTTCGGTTGGGTTAACCGAACCGAACCGAAATAACCCGAACCAGAAGAAAAGAATGGCTATTTTTCCATTATCAACCAAACTGAAAATGCATGAAATTTTGGTTCAATTTGGTTTGGTTATTGGTTTGGTTTTTGACACCTCTCCCAGCGACCCCTGCCGGCCATATCCCACCCTCGTTGCCCCTTGCCGGCGATGGTGGGGGTGGCCCTCGTTTTCTTTTAGCATATTTTTAAAGTTATTTTAAATAAATAAAAATAAGATTTTGACCAAAATGACGTCGTTTTAACTACATCATCACCACGTGAGAAAGGGAAAATATTAAAAAAAAGGCACGTGAGGTATCAAGTTTTTACTGCGTGCTCCCAACAGGAGAAAGCAATGAAAATTAACAAACTAAAACTTAGCCTTTTCCACCTATCAATGGGGTGAGGAATAAGAAGAATATATTCAGAACTGATGAATGGATGAGTTTCTTTCTCTATATTTCCATTTTATTTCATTTTTTTTTTTGCATGAAATTGATAGTTCACGCCTTTTGCTTCCAAATATAGGATCACTCCTTCATAATGTGAAGTTGTAAAGGCTTTGCCATTTCATGCTGAGCCGTTGACATAATTTGATAGGGTGATCGGTTCTCGGTCTGATCCAGTCCAATGGAACCGGTCAATGTAGAAATTGAGCCGCATTTGAGCAAGTATTTGGGACTTTGGGATGTAGGCGTTCGACTTCACGTCTGTTGTATTTTCACGTAAGCAGGGGGCAAGAAACTTCTATGGGAAAGATGGTGGGTTAAGTTGCAAAGCCATCTTCCTTTGATGGGCTTGTCGGAGATTTTTTATTAGAGAATCAATAAGGAATTAGGCCTAATTCCCAATTTGTTTTTTACTAAAAGATAACTTAACCCACCATCCTGCCTGAGAGAAGGGCATAATTTGATGCCAATTGAGTTTTACAGCAGAAATAATAATATCTTTTTTTTTTTCATTTTCATTTTGGGAGCTCCAAATTTGCCAATGGGACTGTAAAAATAAATAATAAAACTATTTGTTAAGGTGTTCAAGTGATGTGATGACTATAGCTCTTCATGGGCCTGATCGGGCCGCATCTTCCGCCCAGCTTTCGGCTCAAATTGAGAAATTCAATTTGGATTTTGATTGCAATCTGCGTAAGCTACCAACCATCTTTCGATTTGGATTTCGATTTGTCATATGGTCCTGACAACGTATCTTTCTGCTTTTCTTTTAAGGTCCCAAAGAAATTCTTCTTTCTTTCTTTTTTTCTTTTTATGAACGTGAATATGGACGGTATGTGGGACGAGTTCTAAATTTGGAAAAACTTGGAACAGCCAAAACGTCAAGACAATACTGCTGTTTAGTACCCAATTCTTATCCACGTGGAATTGTTTGATATTAAATGATAGTGCTCCTATCATGTAGTATGGTACTTGTATTTGTCAAAGTCGAAAACATCCTAGCAATGCATTGTGCAGCTTTGCGAATTAAGCCAACTTAGGTCAAAGAGGCAAGGAAGATTACAATCAAGTGGGACACTTAAGTATGTCAAATAGGGGTCATCTTTTCCAAAAGAAACCGGTTCCTAACTTAGAATCGAGAATAAACCCGATGACCTGGGGTTTCAAAAGATTGGAACCGGGAATCAAATTGGCCGATTCGATCTAGTTCCCGGTTCTTGATCCATTGTATATTTTAGATTAAAAAAACCCAAATTGTTATGATAAAACAGAAAATTTGCACAATTTTACTACAAAAACATTTATCGATCGAGCGATTATATATTTATATTATAGTTTGTCCGTGTTGAAGGCGACGGTTCAATTTCGAATGGGTGAAACAGTACCCTCTTCCCCTAAAAGAGGCTTCAAAAGAATTTAGGACTGGTCCGATTCCTAGGTTTAATTATCATTTCCGACCTTGCAACCCTATAACGAACTGGTTCTTCATGGAGCAGGCCTTGAACTGATCAATATAGACCTGTGTGGTTCGATTTTCGAGTTGAACCAGAGCCGGTGCTCACCTACACGTCAAAGAATGCATGTGCATGCAAGTAAAAGAAGTTGAGTTGAAAATGTCACAAGTAACGTGGCTAAATTCAAGCAAGGTGAGTCAATTAGAATATATTAACTGCTTCATACCACATCAATTCTCTGATGCGAGACTTTTCTCTTACACAACTTACACATGTGACTTGACACTCCATATGAGCCAACTAACTTTGTCTCGAGTCTGCTTAATTTAAAGGATTCCGAAACTTACCATTCCCAATGTTACGTCGCTATTCGACACGCTTTCCATGACCGCGTGTGTTGCAAAAACAAGTAACTATCGGTGATCAAAAAACAATTAATTAAGTATTAAGTCATGACTTAAGTGTACTTATATATTGGTGACAGACAAGTCAATTTTTCAATGAATTGGCATGGACGTTTCGACAAGATAACGTGGGACATGCAAGACCCACACATCCGATAAGCCCGAAACGTGGGAGCATTTGGTGCTACTCGCTTTGGCCACCTTCCTTGCGCACATGCTTCGCAGAAAACAATGAAGAAACGAGAGCAGACAAAGGTGGCGTGTGACGCTCGTAAGTTGTAATGGAACATGTCAGCTTCTGATAAAGCCCGACGATAACATGAAAATGAGAGAGAGAAAAGATCAGCAGAGGTGCTCGTTTTCCACAAGTTCATTGAGGTTTTGGATAAGAATTAGATAATCATTAGTAGATAGAGCCGTCTGATTGGTCAGTTCATTAATCCGTTTCAATCATTTCACTTATACAATATCTAATACTCTTAAGTTTAGACATTGCCCTGTTTTTTTTTTTTATTGGATTACTAAGATAACTGTTGAGAACTTCGACTTCTATAATGGATCGGCTATTCACTCTCCTGAACTCGTAATTTTAAGTCAAATAAAGCCAAAGAAAAGAAGAATAGATAAAAATCTATTGACTTTGAATATGTATGGGTTGGGACATTTGAATAGGCAATCTCCAATTCCCGAGTTGGGAATCTTTTTACATCCGAACCAATTACGTTGATTGTGGAAATTGAGAGTAACTCTTTCAAGAGAGTAAGAATTTTGCAGGCAAAATCCATTATCTTTTTTGAGATGAAGATTTTTTTTGGGTTATGAGATAAAGATTGATAAGACAAAAGATATCGAGACAACTACATATTATGGGGCCCGTGTAAATCTGCACGACTTAAAAAGTTATTTTAAATACAAATCTTGATGTCCTTTTTTATGTCCTTGAAAGTAGGAGATAGTCCATCATCGAATGAAAGGATAACATCAAGCTCTTAAAATTTTTCTTGAATAATTCTTAATGTTAGGATTCATAATCTTGCGGAGCAGATGAGGATGCTAAGCCTAATAAAAGAGAAAACGAACGTTATGGATGTGTCATCCAAAAAGATGCCATCTCATTTGTTGGTCCGTGTGGGGAAACAATTCGAGATTCATAAAGCGACATGCACAAATGGTGCTTTCACGGGCATGCAATTACTATTCTAGTGATGTGTTTGCCTAATTTTGGGTTCATCGAGTCACGCCACATCAAGCTTTCGGCAGGGGACTTCAATTGATTCCAGAATTAAACTCTTTCATGGTGGTTGGTGTTGAAAATTCGAAAGTTTTAATTACCCATCGCCTTCATCTGCAAGCTTTTATGCTAAGGCAGTGGGACTAAGTAATTGACATAAATGGACAGGTTTCCAGCACTGAGAGCAATGTTTTCGTCGCTATATTCAGTGTCTTCTTGGGGTTTGTGTTATTCATCCTGGGATGAGGGGATATCCCCATATTCTATGTTCTATGTACTCTCTCCATTCATCCAGTCACTAGATTTTTATGCCACTTGATACCTCTCTCTCTCTCTTTCTCCATAGCCGCCGGAAGGGAAGCAGCCCCCACACTCTACGAACAACGCTGCCGCCGCCCACTAGGGCTCGGCTAAACCATGAAACGAGGACTTGAATCACAACCTCGAGCCACCAATAATAAGCAGTTCCGTCCGCTCCATCAATAATATTGGTTTAATGACCGTAAAGGTGTTGTAGTCCTCCAGAGATAATAGAAAAGAGCAGAAGTTTTCGAAACCAAGCAATAGCGATCTGTTATCACTAACAAAAGTACAAAAAGCGACCCCATCCCATTAGGAGTTTTGGGCGGCATTTCAGTCCCGATACGGCTGATCATCCTATCAAACTTGCGGATCGGCCATAAGTCATCACTACTGATCCTAGGTATGCATATTGAAAAGGGAAAAGAGAAATACGACTATGCAAGAACTGTATGGGAGCGATGGATAGAGCTCAAGACGTGGATCTCCCATACTACTATCAAGGGGGATATGGGGAGATATGATAAAATCACATGAAAGTTTGGAAGAGATGAACGAGATAAGAGATGGGGTCGTGTGGTGGTGGGGGCTGCTCTTTCTTTTTTTTTTTTAACGGTAGGACCACACTTGCCTGGCTCCATCGTGCCCGTGCGTACGAGTCCATTTCATTTACTTAAGGAGAAAACATTGAACCTTTTACGTACGTACATGGCCCAG